GGTCACATTCGTTAGTCTCAGCCGTTAGTCTTCGAGGATCTCTCGACAGATTAAGTCGTTACCGTGCAAAATATATTTTCGATTTATAGTGATTATGTGCTACAAGTACAATTAATTGTAACAAAGAGTTTAATTTTAATCGGCAATTTAAATGCATACAGTGAGTAATTAGAAAATACTTACATATCTCTCTTTAAAAACAGAAAACATCTGTAGAATATAATTTAAATAGTTTTGAAGTACGAGTATGATGAGATTAATTCCATTTCATTTACGCTGTTCTTTTCAGAATTATTAAAATTGTTAGAGTAACATAAACGACTTTAATACAGACAATTCAGAGTATTATAATTTAACAATCTCGGGTATTAGAATATACCCCGTGTTGAAGTATAAACTAAAGAACTCTCTTTGAAGATTACAGTTATTATATTTAATTTATATTAAACATTACAGAGACATATATTTAACATAAAAATAATTAAAAATAAGGTAATAAAAAACGAGCTTAAACAAATAACACTTATTATGTGCGTTATGTTCGTCGGTTAAACTCATTTAAATTATGTTCTACATAGGTATGTTCAATTTTCAACTCCAAGAAAGATATTCAAGCGTTTTATTTCTGGTAAAATGTCTTGTGCAATGTCTGTATTAAATGCAACATTATTTTTATATTCAAATTAATTCAAATTTCAAGAACTATCAAGAAAATTTATTCTCTCTTCTTTTTCTCCTTTTCTTCGAGATAAATTCATTCTGGTTTTATTATGATTTACTACTGTAGACTGTATGCTGTAAATTCAAATTCATATATCTCAAAAAGATATTCTTGCAGAGACTCAGTATGAAAATTGGTATGGCATTTCTAACGCTATTATTAAATAGTGGCTTACTATTCGTCGGCGTTACAACTCAAGAAATCGATTCTAGCAGCATTACAGACGACAGTTATTTTCGTTTACCGAACCACATAATACCGCAGCACTATGACATTGAACTTGAGCTATACATGTACATACAAGAAGAAGTCAACAATACCGTTTCTGATATCCATGGCAAAATGGTTGTCAATATTAGTGTTGTTCAGAAAACATATAGTATAAGTTTGCACGCAGAAAAACCTTACGTACTTATACTAAAGTCTATGTTGGTTAAAGAACACATGGACATACAAACAAGTGTACAAGCGGTGAAATATGGCTATTGTAATATATCGAACACTAGGACTTTTTATTTTAATACTGAGATATTACCAGGGAATTACAATTTAATAATACATTTTTATACTATATATGATGCAAATGATAAAGCAAACAGTTGGTTCAAGACACTTTATCGCGATACGAAAGGAATGACAACGTGAGTAAACATTATAACAAACTGTTATACGATTCTATAAGTACTGTTTATTATGTTTTTCCATAAATAATTTCCAATAACACTAACAAAATAAAATATTCATTAAATATGCAGTTTTCTGTTATTAAATATATCATATATCGTTGATATGTATCAGATTCGTTGCCGGAACGCATTTCCTGGGGATTGGCGCTCGAAAAATATTTCCATGTTGGGACGAGCCGGGAATAAGAGCTACCTTTAACATCTCCATAAAACACCACAAAGAACACACGGTTTTATCAAACATGCCGAAACTAATGACAGTTCTGGATAAAGATGGGGAAAAAGCGTGGTCGCGATTCAGTACCACTCCTGCGATACCTACTTATCTCATAGCAATTACAATTAATATCGAACCCAATTTCCTACTCAAAATTGATAATAAAGTCGGCAACATATGGCGCAGACGTATTGTGTCATATATTAGTGACTTCGCAGAAACGTTTGCTGCACAAGTCGCAGAATATTTTCATGAGAAATTTGAAATCGTAAAAATGAATCCACAATCGTTAGATATTGTTGTAATTCCAGTTCTTCCAGACAACGGCATCGCGAATTGGGGACTCATTTTGTATAGGTAATATATCTAATCAGAAAAATACATTAATTTATAATTAAGTATAACTTCTTATATATTTTGGGACAGAAGATAAATTTATCTTTTGGCTAGGTTGATTTATTCCAATAAATTCATAGAAGAATGTACATTTTATCATGTCGTCTGTATTTGTTGAAAATACGTTTCTGTTTCACATTGTTTTAATATAGATACGTAAAAATATTATGTAATTTTATTATAAAAAAATAAGTTATTAATATATATACAACAAGGTATATTATTTTTACTTTTTCACATAATCTTTACGAAATAATTAACAATAAGATTTATGTATTATATAATATGTTTTTTAGAGAAAAATTGCTTAAATATTTATATCTTTTATTATTGAAATATATCAAATTTTGTATTCATATTTATTAAAGACAAGAGCTAGTTTACTTAATAATAAATTGTTTATTACTTTTAATTGCATATTTTTCAGTTAATAGATAAATAGATGAATCTAATGCATATAGTATATACAACATAATTTATGTGTAAAAAATAATTAAATAATTTAGTAGACATGATTATATATATATAAATTTAGTAGGCATGATTAATACACTGTATATTGTATAATAAGGATTCAGCACAACCGCATTACATACTCATATCATGAATTTTCAGGGAAACAGATATTGTTTATGAAAAAGGATTAGATTCTGCTATGCAAAAAATAAGAGTGGCGAGTTTAGTAGCGCGTGAAATGGCACATCATTGGTATGGTAATTATATTAGCCCATTTTGGTGGAATAACTTTTGGCTAAACGATGGTATTGCTATGCTGCTTGGAATGCATGCTATTGATAAGGTTAATTGTTTTCTGATATTTTTTATCTTTTTAAAGCTGATTTTCTTACGAAGTAAAAAAACCTGTTATTATTATAATAATGTTATAATTCATGTACATCTCTTGTGTCTGTTAAAATCAAGATGCTTATCAAATAATTCTTTTCAATTTTTAAAAAATTTTAAACTTAATCATTTTTAGATTATTTTTAATTCATTTCAAATTTACACAGCATCTAAGTTTAACTCAAGCAAATTTTATTTTATATTTTTATAATTAATGATAAGAAATGCTAAAGCAATTTTTAATAATAAACAGTAGCGCTGGTGCATATAATATGAACATCTCTCTTAATTGATTATTTATTCGACTTTATTAAATCTTTTTTAGATCTATCCAAAATTTCGAATATTGGATTTGTTTGTAGTCCAGATTCTACATGAATCTCTCCATTTAGATTCTTTTGCTATGCAACCTCTCTACTATAAATTAAATATTGAGAGTCCCACAGAAATTAATTCACTCTTCTCTTTTCCCCGTTACATCAAAGGTGAGATTAAAATGGTATAAATATAATTAAACAATTATCTATAAATTTCTGAACATAAATCAAATAAGGAAATTTAGCGCTAAATTTATATCTGTGGTTTATTTATGTATAAATTTTATTACAACAAGAAAAAGATAAATGTTAGGATCACATTTAAATTAAATATAAAGTTAGGATTTTTTTTAAATTAATCTTTATTTTTTCTCAACAAAAAGTTATGTTTATAAGAATACGAATAAGAATAAAGAAAAATAAATTTATTTTAAATATATTTAATTATATGTTATGATAAATTGTGTTGTAGCGTCTTCAATATTGCGCATGCTGCAGCATGTGCTTACCGATGATGTGTTTTGGCATGGTGTCAAGTCACATTTAAAGGCGTAGTAAGTAATAATTATTGTCATACAATAATTACGTGAATTTAGATATAATAAGTATAATAATTGGAAATTCTATAAAATATTTGGATGTAATTATGCATTTAAAATTTACTATTCATTTACATATTTATTCATATTTCACGCTTCTAAAAGTCATATTTATTGTATTATAATTTTAATTGAATATAAGTTAATCTTTTTTTCTATATTATTTACAATAAGTTATACTAAAATATTATTACATTTATAAACTTATATCTTTTAAATTGAGATACACGCGTAAAGTTAAACAATTTTATATTATTTGATGCGACATGTCTTAGTATTTATTGTTAATAATGTGAAATTTTACAAATTTAGTATGTTTGACAAAGCAAATTCCAACAATTTCTGGCACATTATGCAAGATGCCAAACATAGTTCATCACTCGGAAAAAGATTTAACATAAGACGAGTAATGAATACTTGGAGGGACAAAACCTATTATCCTGTGCTGAACGTTAAACGAAATTATATAGATTTTGGAGATCTATTAATATCGATAGATAACCTTGATACACAGAAACAGGATAAATGGTGGATACCTGTGACCATCACTACGCAGACAGAATGTAATTTTACCCAATCTTTTCATCATTACGGCACGTGGTTAAAAACCACGCGGTGGAATGTTCCATATTGTGAAATTCGTTTGCCGTATGAAGAAAGCGGTTGGATAATAGTTAACTTACAGCAAACTGGTAAGCTTATTATATTTGTTCCGTATATATAATAATTAAATAATTGTACATTAATTCACAATTTTATTTATTATTTTACAAAAGCTGAAGATATATATTTCACACTTTACATAAATAATATGCTATTTGATAAAATATTGTTTAATATATTTTGCTCTATTATTTTTGTATTTAAGATAAATTTTATTTAAACAATATTGTCATTATTTTTATGTATTTAATGTAAATGTATACAAACTTCTTTACACGTAGCTTAATTTTTGCAAAACAAACTAAAATAATTTATGTAATATGTAATTTACATTTCTTTTAATATAAATATATATAATTTCTGACAAACTTTTTATGCTCTTTAAAAAGAAGAAGAAAAATGCAGATATTCAAAAATATATTTTAATAAATCTCTAATAAAAGAGATCTGATATTTCTTGAAGAATCTCATAATTGACAAAATTTTTTATTTAACGACAGGTTATTATCGCGTTAATTATGATCGCAAAAATTGGATGAGTATTGCTTCTTATCTACTTGTTGAAAACTATACGAATATACATGTGCTAAATCGTGCTCAAATCATCGATGACGCATTTCATCTAATGTTAGATCACAAACTTGATTCCTCTATATTCTGGAATCTTACGGCTTATTTACATCGAGAGACAGACTATGTTGCGTGGTATCCGATGTTCAAAGCTCTTGAACACATGTCGAGGATTTTTCTATTGCAAGTGAATAAAGTTACAGAAATAAAGGTAGTAATATACTTTGTTCATAAAAAATATTATATGTATATACAGGTATTCCTCGTTTTTCGAAAGTTTAATTTACGCCAGTTTGCTTTTATACAAAAGACCTCACCTGTATTCACTAACCGAAAGAAATTTGAAGAATTTTTGCTTTTATAAAAAAAATTTTTTCCACATAAATTAATAATAATTGCTTCTTCTCTTTATGCCATTTCGGCTTACGAAAGATTTTACAGGAACACTTTACTTTCGGATAATGGGAAAAACTTGTATATAAAATATCAACAACTTTTACTCACTTAAATTTTCAAGAAAATAAAATGTATAAAATAACATTTAAGCATGTTGTATTGTGATCTTATTTATTAGAAAAAGAAAAGGTAAAAGGGGAAGATTTTTACTTGCTTTGTGCTTTATATTGCGTAATTTATGTATGTTAAATAACTTTTTTACATATAGATATATATATTTTTTTTATTTTTGTGTACTTTATACATATATGTATATATGTACATATGTATAAAGTACAACATACATATATGCGGTGATTCTAAAAAGATAAAAAACTTTGGAAACAGTTTTACTGCATTTAAGTAATTAAAGTAAAAAGACTTAGTAAATGATCACATTTTCGTATACATAAATCTTTTTTGTAAAATACCACACAAACTAATATAAAATCCATATTCTTTTAACAATTTTTAGGTAAAATTACAATCCCTATTGACTGCACTTCTTGAGAATATAGGATATAACGAACGTGCTAACGAGAATGATCTTACTAAATTTTTAAGGCAAGAGGCCGTCAAGTGGGCGTGTACTTTGGATGCTACTGAATGCATTTATGAAGCCAAAGAGAAATTAGCACAGCATCTCACAAATCCTGAAAAACACAAGTAACTTATTTTTACAAATTCTTTACAGTCACATTTCTTTTGTATCTCATGTACTTTGTAAAATTTGACTGAGATGTAAGACTATATGATAAATATTTATAACAGATTTATACATCTTATCTTTTATTATTGTAGACTTCTGCCATGGTGGAAGCACTGGACTTATTGTAAAGGTTTAATTGCGACAAACATTACGACATGGTCAAAATTAATTCGTAAATACGTGAAGAAACGTGATCCCGACATTGTAAAAGCTGTGGCATACTATGATGAGTTTAATATTATCCAAATCTTTTTGCAAATAATGTCGAAGGAAAATGGTGTTATACCAAATACTGAACACCGTGTTCACGGCTTTTTTCATATCGTTGCAAAGAATGCAAAACGAAATATAGTACTTGATTATTTATTAAAAGAATTTACGGAATTAAAACCCACGTAACTATATTTATTTTATATTATACCATATTATTTTTTAAATATTCTAAATATTTTTTATATATTCTATTTGCAATAATAGAAAAGTGTTGCTTATACATGTACTAATTACAAATGTGCTATTTTTTTTATAGAGAAGTTAGCTTGGCTGCGGCATTAGTTCATATTATTAATCATGTGTATACTAAGGAACAAATTTGGAAGGTAAATTGTATGAATTTGAATAACATCTTTTTATTATAATTAGATTTATTTCTGTAATGTATATAAAATTTTATTATTCTGATTATCTCTAAAAACTGTAAAAAAATATGTTATATTAGACGCAAGGGAATAACATGATGTACATATATTATCTGTTATATTGTGTAACAAGAAAATTATTTATTAACTGTGAACGTTAAAATAATTTGTTTTAGATACACACATTCGCGAAAAAGACAATTGATGACAGATATGTATATTTGGCTGTTAGACATAAGATAAGATCACGCTGGTTTGAAATTACCCGTCAGCTTATTTATCTTATGAATTTTTAAAAGTCAAAAGATGTTACATATATGTAGATAATCAATGGAAGATTATTATAATGCTTGTCCATATTTATCTGCATAAATGTTTAATAATTTTTTAATTTATACTAAGAATAATTTATACTGTTATTATTATGTTATATTTATGATATATTGTTTTTTAAATTACTTTTGTAATTGACGCATGCAATTCATTATTTTGAACACAGAGTTTATTTGATAATGCAATTACAGGTGTTGAATAAAGAATATTTTTTAATATTATCAATAACATTTATTTAGTCAATAAAATTTGCCTTTTCTACCTTATCATTAGAATAGATATAGATATAGATATAGATTATATTTAAGATATTATTATACGCTCAATCTATATATCGTTATACGACAATCATATTATTTATTTTTATTAATCTATTCATATTCATTTAACAGTTCCTTAATATCTTCGATATACAAACAATATGTTCTGTGTATATAAGGCACATAGGGTGCAGGTATCACAAGTTTTTAAGAAACTTTTGGCGAAGCTTTAAAGATGTTTTAAAAAAGACGAGGTCTTTTAAACGCGTGTTGTCTAAGTTTGAAACAAATAACACTTTACAACAATATATAATATATAATACTATAATATATTAAATTTAAATATTTGCATATATAAATATTTAAATCTAGCGCAGATTGATTACCCTTTATTGCAATGTCGCGACGACATGTAATACAACATTGACACTGTCCTGCAAGCGGGCAGTTTGATTCTCTGCCTCACCACCGTCACCCACTTGCACCTGTTTCGTGGCTCACGGACCAAATGCGGATCATGAAACATAATTATACCGATCATTGTGCAACGGTGCGCGGTGCTGCGCACCACGCGGCTGTATGCGTTTCGTTAGTGATAACGCACGCGCCGAGTAGCTAGAAGCAGTCACTATTGAGTGAATGGTGATCGGTATAAACAAGCCAATGACACTCGAGAGAGACCTACATATCTTTCTTCTGAACCAACGAGAACCAGGGACGTTTTATTACCTACACTCAGAAATCCAAAACAGAGTAACAGAGAAATTCGAAAATTTATATTATCTTATTTATTTAAAAAATAAATATGTATAAATTCAAGAAAACGCGTGCGCGCTTATAGCACTTTGTGGATCAGCAATAACCATATATTCTCCGAATAGAATGTTGTTTACCTACAATTTTTGCAGATGATGCTTCGTGTCTGAAAGATATTTTCTCACATAAGTTTATAGTCCCTCTTTTCTTCTTGTTTTTTTAAGGCGTAGCTGATCCTAAATAGGGAAATAAGAGAAATGATAATTTTTATAGTTTTTTAACTTTTATTTTTGTCAATATATAATCAAGACGTAAAATGCTTAGGGTACATAAATGAGCTAAAGCGGCACTGTCAGAAGAGACATGCACTTTATGCGACAGGGGAAGGAAAAGACGCGTTGATAGTTTCTCTCACTATGCGCGTCTTTCTTTTTTAATCTGACAAGGACTATCTTTTTTTTTACTTTCACAAGGACTCAGTGCACTATCGCTCGCGCTCATTGATCCGCGCGAGTGCATTTATGCAGATTATCATATGCAATTTGTGTCACATGAGAGAGATGTCGGACGAAAATATTGGCAACTATTTTACACGCATATACTAAACGCAACTAATACTTATTTGAAAACTACTCTACATTAAATATATAACACATTAAAATAATAGCATCGATAAAAGTTAAATATTTTTACGTATAATTTTGAATATTACATAATTAATTATTTATATTATTATATGTTATTAATATGAAGATTAAACTTACAAACTATATTCTGTTTTTCTAACTATATTCTGTTTTTATGTCTTTAAATACACGGATGTAGTCGCTTTTCTTGATGTACGGAGAAAAATCGGTGATGCATGCTATCCATTATGTATTATTATTGTTTATAAAACCAAAGAGAAGAACATTGAGCAGTTGGATAATCCAAAACACTGGCCTTTAGCTAATTTGTGATGCGCTCCTTTATTATCTACACGCCTTATTATACCAGATGTCACACGCAACACTGTTGCACGCCAGATGTTTGTTAGAAGAGGCTAGTAAGTGCAGCCTACGTTTCTCTTAAATACTAAGCTAGCCACCTCTGTATGACAATGAAATGGGAAACATAAATGGTCAAGAATAAGAGCCTATACTTAGCTCAGCTAATTCAAGAGAACTTCACAATACAAGGATATTATGTCGTAATCATCTTTTCAATCTGTTCTATCAATTAAAAATACAAATTGTATTATTGGAATCTTTTTTTAATTTTCTTCTTTATACTTTATGTAACCAAGAATATAATTTATCAATTTCTCTTTAAATAACTATAAGTTTGTTCAAATTTAAATAAACTTTATTCTTTACTCTCTCGTGTAAGGAGATGAAAAGAATTGATAAAATGCAATTACAAGATAAGATAAATCCATACAGACACCTTTGAAAACTTAAAGTAGTGGAGAGACTAAATAAATTAAATTTATTGCAGCTTATTGGAACTAAAGTCCCATTTTTCAACACTCAATGTTTGTAACAATGCATGATTAGAAAGACAGTAATTAAAATCATCCCGGATATTACCTGAATATTTTAAGTATTTGCAATTATCTTGATAATAATATAATATCTGTGTTTGAGTAATGCCTGTAATTTTGTGTAATGAGTAGGATACCTTGAGTATAAAAATTACGGAGATTAGTACTGATTGTTACTGACTAGAATGTTTCGTTAGTACTGATGATAGCAGCTGTGAATAAAATGAGTCGCGTTGTATTGTACTTAAAAGTAAAATAAAAAACGTAATTAAGTTATTCCGCGAGCAGAACTGCCGAGTATTGCGCGGGGTGGGGCACCTAATGAGAAAGGACTGAAACCACACGCGTGCACCATTCATAGTTGTCCACGCACGTAATCGCTGATCCATATAGCGGCCTCCGCATTCGACGCACTGACATATCGGCATATGCTCGCCGATGTACATCACGGTGGAGTCTCGTCGTGTGAGCGGCATTGTTTCTTTGCGGCATCTCCATTTTTCCCCCCTACCTTCTCCCGCGTGCGTCCTTAGAAAAACTCGTTTCTACTCGTCGACGCGATCTGTTCCAAGGGTAGCTACTTCGCGCATTCATGATCTGATCTTAATTCCATTGCGGCTAGATAAAGAGGTGTGACGCGATCACAGGCGATGCAAGTCTCGCATTTGCGCGATTGCCGATCGCCGATCGCCCGCAATGCGAGGGTGTACGCAAGGTTACAAGGTCACGGAAGTCCGTTCGCTCGGGAGTAAGCGTGAGGATCGCGAGGAAGTAAACTCCTCCTGAACTCGGAGGTACTTCCTGTATACCCTGTATCTTATCGTCGGAATAATGTCGTGCATAATTAATTTATTCGTCGGGACAGTCCATCACCGAGCTTACTTGATTACGCTTATGCGTAGGTAGAATTTTTTCCCATCGTAATGTCAACACTCAAGTCTCTCTTAATAGCTCTCTCCGCTAATGTCAATAAATGTCGATGACGTAGGTTTTGGAAGCATATAATGAGTCAATTACAAAGTTGCGACGGCAGCTGTTACAAATGATTATTACGTTATTTATAACAGTAATCGTTCTTTTTATGTCGTACTTTATAAAAAAAATTTCCATATTGCGTTCTTTAAATTCTTTGGATAATTATTGACGACAGTTCATATATGCGATATTTACATATATAGATGCAATATTGAGTGACGTGAAAGTAAGCATAAATAAAATTATTGTTTGAATAGAGAACTACAATTTTCCAAAATATTCTACTTAATGTTAATACAAAATTATTCAAAAATAATAAATGTTTATTTAATCACTAAGTAAAATATGGTTAAAAGAAGCTATGACCATTAATTTTATTAAACGATTGTATTGTCTCACGATAAGACAATAAAATTAAATACTATATTTAAGTAAAATATTCATTTTACTTAAAAATATATTATTTAATTTATGCAGGTATATTTTATAATTATATTTTATCTCGCTTTTTTCTTTTGCTCTTTCTTTGTCTAAAGCATAAATATACATTTATCTCATTTTAAATTTAAAAAAAAGATAACGATAATGTTAAAGGGAATAAATAACATCTTATTGCTATGCAGTTCTTAGAACTTAAATTGCTTCACGAAGCGCAACAATGTGGACGCAATTTAATTGCACCGAGCCCAAAATGCCAATGCAATGACAAAGAATAAAAAATAAAAAAAAGAATATAGAATAAAAATCTGTCTGTCACGCGATTTGTCAGAGAACTCTTTATATTTTTTCTTTTTTGAAACAAAAAAATTTGTTTTCTTAATTCTGTAATATTTTCTATTTATTTTGGTATTTTCTTTCTTCTTTTTTTTCTCTTCATCTCTTTTATTTAGATTGATCTTCTTATAATTTTTTAGCAATTAAAATTCTTTATCTTTACGTAGCAGTGCACAAATAATACTAATTATAAGATGAAAAAAATATTTAAACGAGTAACCTCTTTTTGAGTTTGATTTTTTGAAGTGTATAAAGTTTTATAAAATAACAATATAACTTAATGTCCATGGCACGAGCAGTCATTCCCTTCGTCTTCACCACTTGCTGGAAGTAGCCTAAACAAAAGAGATGCGCATTTCCCGGAGCTGTCACAGCCGCGTTTTAGTTTACCGCCACTGATCAAGTGCCGCTGCTGCTCCTCGCCTCTCACGTGTTTAATGACATGCAATTTTGCAACGTATCTTTGCAGAGTCCTTGGGCCGGGAAACTATATAAACCGAGTGTTTATAATTGGCCAGGCTAGCCGCCAGGATTTTTAACCAGGCAAGATGTCGTTCTGCTCGCTCGCCCTATTCTGCGCAACCGCGTTTGTGCTCGCCGCGGCTCAGGATTTCGAACTTCGTAAGTCCTTTGTTCAACCATCAATTCTCTTTGTCTGATTTATAAGGGTTGTTTCTATAACTTCAAATTTAATTAACTGTCTACATCGTTTCAATCTTGTCTCGAGTAAGAAGCAGTTAATCAGAAAATTTTTACCTAACTTCGAGTAATATTTATAACAGTTTTAAAAATCACTTCCTAAGTGTGCGGACAAAAAAGTACGTGTGCATCTTTTGAGTTTAAAATTTCGTATAATACGTCGTATAATACGTCAATTCCCATGTGACATAAAATCTTTTTTGACTGTTTACTGGAGATAATTGTTACTCTTTAATAATAGAGAACTACTCCGTTATTGTTATACGATGATCTTAACATTATTTGTATATAATTTTTATATAAAAAAAAAAACAATTTTTACATATTAAAAAATTTAATCATCAAATTTAACGAATTTAACAATTTGCCGAATAGTTGAAGTGTTAATGTAATATATACATAATTAAATAATATACACACACTCTCTCTCTCTCTCTCTCTGATGTGTGTAACACTTTAATCGATTTTTGATGATTAATATATGCCATCTTACAAATAGATTATGAATTGTAATTGATAATGTCATTTTTACAATGTGCTATTGAGATAAAAAATTATAATTAATTATATAAATTATAAGTTACATCAGCTGTACAAATTTAATAAGACATGAAACGCAATCTTCAGCGCGTTTATTGATATATTAATTATGACGCAGATACTACTTTCGCTTTCTTATGTTTTATCCATGCAGAACTAGCAACTGGTTTCAAGAAATTTGCAATGACAAAATGAATCATACATTATCACAAAGTAAATCAAATTAAAGCGTGAGCGAATAAGATAATATTTTAATAGCAGGTATAATATACAACTTTTTTAATGAACTAACTTCGTATAGAGACATCTAAAATAAAAAGAGGTCTACATATAAGCATAAGTTAGCTATTTTTATTTCCGAGTAAAATTATTTACGTCACTGTAAATGAGTTTCCAATTTTTCAAAATAAGAATAAAATTTTGGTATACAAGAAATAAATGTTATAACAATTTGCGCTTAATAGATTATTGAAATAAAAAATATTTTGCATTAATATGTTGCATAATTTACATCGATTTTTAAATAAATTATTTACTATTTTCAACGTTCTTCTATTTATCTTTTAATTTCAGCAATCTTTTTAACGTTAGGCCTGTTCTTTTCAGCAAAACTTTTGCACGGTTCGTCTTTCCTCTTTTTCTTTTCATGTTGGAAAGAAAAAGAGAAAAGATGAACCGTGCAAGAAGATCAGCTATTTGTGATGTTGCACTGTAGATCGATTGCACTTCGTGCAAGAAGTTCAACTAAAAAGAACAAGCCTTTTTTTGTTTTTTTTTGCAGATCTACAATTATTTTCTTATTTCAATCTTCAATCGATCTACAGTGCAACAATCACAAATACATAATTTTACACTGCTTGGCAAAAACACAATTAACATATAAACTTTTTTTTTAGTTTTTTTCTATATTTACCTAAGATTTACCTAAGACCTTGTAATATTCTGTAATATTTTGAATATGAATTTATATGAAATTATATTTATATCTACAATTGAGAATGGTTAAGTAATTTTGAATGTAAATTTGCATGTGCATAGACGTTTACGGTTGAGCGGATAATAATTGCATAAGTTTAAACGTTTAATCATATGCTTTTACCATTTTTCCACACATTTTAACCACCAATTATGCTAATTTTAATAACACTCTATTTTTTTGACGAAACATCAAACAAAATACGCTTTTAGGAAAATTGATACGTAATTGATCGGTGCACTTTGTGGCTGGTTTTACTATCGGAGAAAGGAAAGGTTAACATTAACCACAATAAATTCGAAGCTTGTATATAGGATTTCCTAAGCCAGTTTATGCAAGATTCTGTTACAGTGACACATAATGCTAAATATGTTCCAATTAAATACTTAAATAATTAAGTACTCGGTGGAATTAATATTTAAATGTTATAAAGTAATTAGCATTAAAGATAATGATAAAAGTGAACAATATCCGAGTTAGTGATAACAAGATTTGGATTTTATTTTTTATCGCAACTTAGTATAACAGTTACAATAAATAATTAATGTATTATTATTATTATTATTATTATTAATATATTTATATACTTTTTACACAGCTGTGCAAACCTGCAAACATGATGCAGATGATTATTCGTCTTGCTTGAGACTTGCGGTACAAGAAGCATGGCCAAACTTCATCCCAGGTATTAAAAATTGAGCATTGATAATATTTCTATTTGAATTGATTGAAATTATCAAAATTGCATTATACGTTTATTATTATTTAAATGTGCATAAACAAAAATAGACTTGCCATTATTTTATTTATGTTATTTTAATATATTACATATAATATTGCGTGAGCTTTAATAATCTTTTCCGAAAGGTATCCCGAAACTCGATCTGCCGGTCTTGGATCCGTACTTTACCGAAGAACAAAGAACCGTGTACGAAGCTAATGACTTACGTGCAGACATAACAGTCACAAATGTCAACACCTATGGACTTGCGAAGGCTCAATTCTTGGCTGTGAGACCGCACTATTCCGACAATTTCTTCAAATTGGAGATTGATGTCGATTTGCCGAAGGTGCTTATGGAGGGTAATTACAAGGCGGATGGATCCATTGGAACTTTCCAAATTGGCGGCGAAGGTATGCAAATTAATTACTTTTAATATTGACAATAATATATGCATATCACTTACACCATATAAAACACTATAAAATTTATTTAAAAAAAATATCGAAAATACAAAAGAAAACATATGCACTTGCTTTAAACAAATGCTCGTTATTATTTAACTTTTCCTTGCATATAATTCCATTATCATTTAATGACAGATAATAACATAAATCACACTAGAATTAATTTCTTAATATATTTCATTGATAAAGAGAGTGTATATCTGATTTTGATTTTGTCTCTAATATATATTTTCGGGATTTATAAAATCTAAATTTTATAAGCAACATATTAAGATACATTCGTATTAATGAGATTTAATTATTCACGCAAGCGATGTATAATATATTTTATTATTTATCTCGTTAGGATTCTTCAATATTAGCATGGAAGACATTAAAGCCACGTGGACATTGGAAGGACCTGTAGCTAATGATAGATGGACGCTCGACCATTTCTATCTAAACCCGGAAATCGGAAAGATGCAGATCTGGTTCAGTGACATGTTCAACGGTAACGAGGAACTCAGTAAGTAAAAACAGTTTCTTCAAAATATTCTCCGGCTGAAGACGCATTCGCGTTTACCTGGCTCTTACATTTCCATATTTCCACGAACAATATATTATAAGAATTGATTTTTTTTTCCATAAGCTAAACGAGTTATGTCAAAAGGAGGTACTGGGTGCGAAACTTGTATTCCTTCGATCTTATTGCCGTAATTGCCTGTTTCATTATTTCTAATTGTCTTGTTATATCACTTCAGCAATTCCTTGATAATTATTTGATGGGAAACTCTGATACTTATGCTGTAATCGCTCGTTACATAATGCAGAAGCCGGTTAATTTAACCTCCTACTTATTACGCGTCGACATTCTTCGTGACGTGATCGTCGCAGCCGTCAGAGAACTTTACGAATTTTCACTTTCAGATAATGCCGCCATGAGATTCGTGAATGAATATTGGCCGACCTTGTATCGCACGATGCTGCCGTTCCTCACGAAGACCTGGGACGAACGTCTTACTGAAGCCAGCAACCGTATATTCTCCAAGATATCCTTCTCGAAGACGTTCCCTTGAAGCCCTTCCTTTCTGCTAGGGCACGTACATAGCGTAGTATGAAGAGCGTCGAATTTGGAAATCGCAAATATTTTAGTCGACTGCTCGAAATCGGTGCGGAGGAACGTGAAATTTCTCTTTCAGAAGTCTGCGAACATCCTGACGTGAGTTCTTTTTTTTTTTCTCATCATGCGTACTTTTGATAGTGTTATTTACAATTAGATTTGCACGACATCGACATGCGTGTGAATAGTGCGACAATGGCGAGTTTATTGTATAATTATGTAACGTGTAAACATAGATTATTCTTTGTTACTATTATTGTGTTACTGCTATTTCCACTAGTGATTGTTTATGTAAAGCACAGGTGTAATATATAATAAATATCAAAAATAATATATAAAGAGTGCCAGATATATAAATTTAATGATTTTCCCGAATAATTTTTAACTCTCTTGAAAGTTTTCTTCTAAATTATTGTTAGTTTATACACACATATACATATATACGCGTGTAATCAATTTGTTTATATTGTGTAAAATGTAGTAAGTAATAAACGGAAATATATAAACGAATTAATTAATTTTTATCATATATTTATATGATAAAAGTACATTCGTTTTATTCTAATAATATACCATTAATTCCATTAATTGTGCACTAAAACTGTAACACCACATCTGAAACTTAACATGATAACGATTTATATACCTGTTTTACTATGATGTAACTAACAATTACATTTACTATTAACATATAATATATTTATTTTATAGGAGAACATCGACGAGAATTATCTATTAATTTTTGAATATAATTGTATGTTCTTTTCAAGCAATTTGTTCAATTCCTGATTGGTGGACCAAACAATCAATACTTTGTTTTCATGAATAAGCGAGTAATAACAAAAATAGCGTATAAACATTATGTCACCTGCATTTAATTATTATCTTTATTTAGGATTTTGAAATTTCTTTATAGACAAGTTAGTTAGAAGTTAATACATTTTTCAATCGTGTTATTTAATTATTTTTTTTAAAGAAGTCACGAATATACTATATATATTATTCAAGTATAAATTCTTGGAAAATATCAAAATAAAATCAATCTGCTATTTAAAAATTAAAAAACAACTTAAATATGCGTCCATTGTGTTTTTTCTTTTTTAATTAGAAGAATGCCTGATAAGTTGCTGCTATAATGAATCATTTAATTCCCGTGCATACTTAAAATATATCATTGATTTCAATAACAAGAAACTAATGTTAACTAATAAAGATATAATATAGATTTCTTAAGGTATAAGGAACGATTCCACTGGTACATGTCGCAGCAGTTGGTTGACAATGCCAGCAAAGAGTGCCGACAATTTCTTCTTTAGTTGCGGGTCCATCAATTTCAACACTTCTTGCCCATTTTCTCGAAGGAAAAGATTAATCGCCTCGGCTATAAGAATTAAAGAGTAATACAAAGATAAAAATTAATTGTAAAAGTTAACGACTTTCATTACACTAAATATCATAAAAAGAAAGATATTCTATTATTACATCCATTATTAATATTGTTATTTGTAATGTAAATTTAAAACATTTTTCGAAATGGATATGTGTGCATGTCTTATGAATATTTATAGACTGTGTGTGCAAATTGCTTACTGAGTATTCGATTGTTGTTAAAGATCTTGCTGACTCTCATTTGCACATCTTTCACGCTGAGCACGACGTCAAGGTTATCGACGTTCATATACGTCTTTCCCTCTCGCGACTTCGTCGAGATCGTTCCTCTGACTAGTGCTCTAGCATCTCCGAAACGCGCGTGGAATGTACCGTTTCCACTTGCAGGCAAAATTATTAATACACCAGAACTGTGCAGGAATTAAATTTGATGAAATATAGATTCCGTCGTTTAAATATAATAAAAAATACAATTATTCATATGCCTCTTACAGTCTATTATCGAACTAAATTTTCTATCGCTTATAAAAGAAAAATAAATATCATCTATACTTTTTTTCCAAAATATATATAATTTAATATTTTTATACGGATTATGTTGAAAAAATTATTTCATACTCCGTTTAACGTATATCATTTCTTCGTTTAATAAACGCAATTATATAATTGCAATTATATAATTTACGTACCTGGAATAATGAGCGTCTAATATAAGGGCCGGCATTCGTACTATGGCTTGAAAGGGTGAGCCGAGTTTAATATCCTCCACCGAATAGTTACTCGCTCCCTTTACATAAAGATCACGCAGCTGAATCTTATAACCGTTCGTACCACCTGTCAGGGAAAGAGACAGTTCGTCCATCTGGAATAGATAGAATGTGCGGTAGCCAATGTATAACGGTGTAAATTGGAACTTGAATTTTACATATTTGTATCATTGCGTAGTACAATTTATTAAGTCTGATTTTAAACCTGCGAGATTTGGCAGGTGCTTTTCAAAGTGTGAGAGCAGAGCACTGTAAGTACATAATCTTTTATATTGTTGTAATATTATAAGCATAACACTTTTTTTTTATTTAAAATGTTTCTTCTTGGAAGAAATTAATGAATATAAATTAGAGAGACTGAACTTACACGGAACGGCTCTACCGAGGGTAACTCAATTTCGGGTATTCCGATTTTCAGATAAGGTCGCAGGAAGTGCAGAGCGCCGATCAGACAGGTTATCAGCTTTGGATCGCTTTTGGAACATTGCTTCACATATTCGGCTACGAGTAGAATGTTATTATATATGTGTCGGCTGTATATTACTTAAAGTATGCGGTTTAATCACGTATGTTTTGTATTGTTTCATTGTATTGTTCCATTGTATGATAAAATTATATGTTCTTTATATTATTTCTTCTTTATGTTCTTTATGAAGCAGGAGAAATTTGACGTTCCAGATCGTATAAGTAAAAGCGTCAATGAAAGTAAAAAGCGTGTTAAACTCTAGTCGCGTTAAAAGTGAAAGTATCTCGTGACGATAATGCACCTTCAAGAATAAGTATTGCAAATTGGTACAGCTGCAAGAAATTATGCTAAGAGCTCTTTTTATGATCGTTTTTTTCTAATGCTTTACAAAATCATGTCAGGATTGGCCAATGATTAGTATGTCGTATATTAAGTAGATTGCATAATTAGAGCAGTACACATAATACATGTACACATACATATTCAAATATCCGTGACAAATTTAATTTTTTTTTATCAGGAGCGCTGTATTCCATTCTTTATAATGTAAATCTGCAAATAATCATTGATATAGTAATCTTGAATTAATTATACGATAGGCTCGTCGAAGTTAAATAAATAAAGACATAAACTTTACGTCTATGGCGAACTTTGATATTTGATGATTACAACATAGTATTTTCCGCAGAAACAAAGATCCGGCTTTTGCGACAATGCAACGCTATTGCGTGCAGAAAATTACACGTAATTTGAGTTAGAAATTTTTTCATTCTTACAGAAAAATATTTTAGTTATTTTTATACTGATGGTATATAAAATAATTAAATGCGTTCTTATAATTATAAAATAAATTGCGTCCCATTCCTGTCTTCTAGTGTTTCTATGAATGTTACATTCTACTCCATTCTACTCTAATTAACAGTCAATTTACTTGGTATGTACATCTTTTCGATACGATCGAATTTCTTAGCAGTAATCAATTGCAAACTATTGCACCGTTTATGTATTGTAATGAAACTAATCGTTCTTGCAAATTGCGATTCAATTAATTCAAGCATGATCTGCATGATTATAACTTTATGAATATTCAGCGATGATATTAAGGACGCTAACGCGTTAAGTTCGCGGAAAATGGCTTGATTACTCACGGCTCTTGTCGGAGGAGAGAGTTGCCGTGCAGCCGACGACAAGGAGGATGGCCCACAGCCTCTTAGTCATAATTTTTTAATGCAGCCGCGACGGCGACGACGAAGACGAAAGTTTCGCGAAAGTTTCGATTATAGAGACTCGCAGAGTATTCACCTTCGCGACTTCAATCGTACCTATTGTTGAAGCTAGTCACGAGGATCTTATCACGAGCAAGGATCACCGTCGGGCACGACGACGAATTCGACTGAAGACTCGAAATCGGCGCGATAAACGGCACTGTTAGAATAAGACTGACTAGGTATGTTAAGAGAGGGCATTGACAGACGGCAGATCGTAGCTGCACTCGCGGATACTTTCACTGCTGCAACATGCATGCACCTGCGCCTCCTTCGAGTCCTTCGTCGTCTGCAACAGCAGACGAGTCTTATCCAGACCGTGGAGACGGCTAGACGAAAGTGCCTTTATCCAGAAGATATGCGATGATGTCTGTGCGATGATGTCTCCCGCGTATAAATCATTGGCCGTGCGCCGCACGCTCACATAATGAGAAATTTGCAGCGCGCGGCGCTTTGATCATGACGAAAGCATATATTGCATGTACAAATCAGCGTTATAGGTGCAATTTTCTCCAGAGAATAAGCTGACACAAGCACTGAAGAAATTGTGAACATCAATTTCATGAATTAACCTTTGATTACAGGATACGTCCAGAATTTGGTAATATGTTAAACAGTAGACGATACAAGACAACGAGATTTCTTGTGATCTATCATTTTTATTACAGTTTATTTCTATATAGTCATTTAATGTATAGTCTTTTTTTTATTATGTTATTTTAATATTTTTGTATGCAAAATACGGTTAGAAAAATCAATTTCTGTAAAAAAAAAAAAAGTCATACAACCGTAGAAATAAAATAAAATCAACCTTCTCGGGGACAAATTTATTTAAAACAAAGTTACGCTGTTAAGATTTACCTGGTAAAATCAATATTTATTTAAGTTTTGCGAGTATCTTGTGCAAGGAGATGTGCAAGGAATTCTATCTAATTCTATCTGCTTTTAACATAAAAAAAAAATGTAAATATACTCCATTTTTATTTTAAACTCTTTTTATCTTCTATCGACTATCATATGCAATATTTGTATTAAAATTTTGTATAAAATTTAATATTTTTATTTGACTCTTATGCCAAAACCATTTTTTAGAGAGAATCGCAAAAATTGTATACATTATTTTATCTGTTATTTCGAATAAATATTATAGATGACCACTGGATTCTTGGCACAAAACTGCGAAGTTCACGAAGTAAGACAATAATCTTACAAGTAAACAACAGGTCTGTGTTGATCAAGTGCAATTGTGGACGCTACGCAATAAGAGTACCTATGTATAGCGTACTCTGCATGATGTAACGAGTCATTTGCATTCGACTACAATTAAGCTGTTAGCATTATGCAATGAGATTTCGGTAGAATGAACATGCATTCAGTGATTTACGATCTGTTATGGTATAGACATTTATATCATCCAAAAAATACTTTCTAAATTAGTATAGAGAATATTTTTCAAGAGAGCATTTAAATTATTAGACAATATTTATTGACATCATAAATATTTATGATAACAGATCGTAACTCACGTAAATCACGTGATATTAAAAAACGATTTTTACATAATCTGTATCAAAAACTTGCATTAAAATGTATAAATGTAAAATAAATTTCAAAGAAGATATTGTGAGAGCTATAAAAGCTATTCTGGCTTTAAATTTTTATATTAATTT